CGCGAGGTTGGCAAGTGGCACGTTTACTTGGCGGCGCTCATGGCACCGCATGTGGATGGTGGTCCGATTCTGCTGGCTCCGGACATGCCACCGGTCGTGGTTCCCGAACCCATGATCGTAGAGGACGCGGCGGGGTTGGACCCTGAGCCCGAGTCTGCGGCCGCGGCCGCGCTGATGCCGCCGCCACTACCAGCACCACCAGTCGACCATCTTGCCGTGACCGCACTTGCACTCGCCGAGGCGGTGCGTCGGTCGGCCCCGACGGTGAATTTGTCGCAGAACCACGCCGTCGGTACGCTCGCTACGGGGCGGGCGGGGAGCGGCGACTTGCCCTTGATCCCGTTGTCGCCCGTGTCGCTGTAACCGTTGTTGGCCGGGTGTGTTGTTTGATAGTTGTGTGCCCACCGCCGTAAAGATAATAGCTTTATTGACTTGCGTTGGAAGAATAGCGTTGGGCGACAAATTGCTCCTCTTGCTCCAATCATGAAAGTTGAACCCTGTCCGCACTGCCACAACTGAAGGATTTGACAAAAGAAGAGACATACACTGAATTACCAAAAATAAAGACGAGGAATTACAGGTCAAGGAGGAAGGGTGGAAGGAGCGTCGTGCACATTGGCTGTGCATGCCAGCAGATATAGAACGCCTGGAAGACGAGATCAATGATGACGGGCGCGGCGTTGCTCGCGTTCCTGCTCGCGCTGCTGCTTGCGCTGTTCACGCTCCTGCTCGCGCTGGTGATGGCGTTGCTCGCGCTGCTGCTGCTCGCGCTGCAGCTCCTCTTGGCGCTGCACCTCTTGCGCGACCTCGGCCTGCGCGGCCTGAATCACGGCAGCGGCCATGGCAGCGAGCGTGTCCGAATCAGCGGGCGTGCCATCGACCACGACCTTGACATGCTCAACAACGACACCCGTCGCGGGCACGAGATCGGCCGACGACACTGGGTGGCGGTGATGGCGGCCCTCATGGTCGCGGTAACCCCAGGTGAACCACCACGGCGCGTGGCGCTGGTGCTCGCCGTGGTGGTTGCCGTGGTAGCCCCAATGGTGACGCGAGTCCGCATTGCCGTCGACGTCGACGTGGTGCGCGGCAGTGTGATCAAACGGCGTCTGCGGAATCTCAACGTCGCCGACCGTATCGTGCAGCGCCGCAACCATCATGTGGTCGTGGCCCATGACGGGCATGTGCGCGCGGCCATGGTGGTCCTTGTCGTCCCATTGCGGGCCGTCCCACTGCGCGTGGTGGCGCCAGGACCCGCCGCACGGGCCGTGGTGGCGGCCGTGACGACGGTGGTGGCGGTGCGCGGCAAAGACGACACCGCCGACGAGCAGCACGAGGATCGCGGCAAGAGCAGTGAACCCACGACGGCGATGCGGGCACCGCGGGCGCGCGGCGGGAGACGAGGTGGTGGCGGTGGCAGCGTTCGCTTCGAGATCGGCCGGCGCGCCGACGGCAACAGGCGACTTCTTGTCGGCGGCAGCGGACGCAGCAGCGGCATGGCCGGGGTAGACGGCCGTGTCGTAGGGGGGCGGCGGCGCCGACGATTCGTCAGCGGCAGGCACGGCGTCGGCAGGCGCGGCCGGCAGCAGCGGGGCGCGGGCTTCGTCCATGTGCGCGTGGCCGTGGTCGTGGGTGACGAGCAGGGGCACCTCCATCTTGTTGCAGAGTTGGCTGCGATTGTGTTGGTCGTGCGCGGCAGACCCTGGCGGGGTGCAGGGAATCGTGGTGGCAGAAGCGGGAGGACGACGACGCCAAATGGCCCGCCAAAAGGCCAAAAGTGCAGAAAAGGCAACAGAGGCGAAATGATGACAAAGATCGTGAACGGCGATAAAGTACGTGGAATAAGGTGTGGGGTTGTGTGGGTGTGGGGTTGTGTGGTGGCCATGCTGACCTGGGTCGACATGACAGCAGAGGCTGTTCTTGGAAATATGGCGTGGTCGATAGTTTGAGCCACCTGGAGGTCCCCACCTGGTAATTTGAAACCCCCGATTGGCGGTGACAAGGCGAGTATGAGCGTTGACAGTGCTTAAACATCAACAGCCACCAACAGCAAGGAATAAGTACTGCCAAAGACAAAGCAGAGCCATTCAAGTCAGGCAACAAAGCCTTGATTTTGCATGCCCTGCACGTGTGGGATTTCTATGTCAGTCTTGGCGCGTCTTTTGACAGGCTAGATGAAAGGTATGAGCTTGCCCAAGGAGAGCACCATTGGCGAATACTCGGGCGGCAGTGAGGAGAGAAGTGTGAGGACCAAGAATGAGTTGGCAAAGTCAGTGTGCAGGTGCAAGGATGTCCATTACCATGATGATGATGATGACAACCAAAACTCGAACCACCACCACCTGAAACGTGCTGCATCTGCTCGAGACAGCGCAACACCAATTTTTTCAACTCAATTTTGACGATTTTTGCCATTTTTCGACCTGCACCATGACCGTCACCATGACCTCATCTGTCTTGGTCAAGACGCCAATCTCTGGCCAACCAGTGACGATTGAGATGCTCAAGGCCAATGGCTCAAACTGGCCAACATTTGCTGACCATTTTCTCAGCTTTTTGACCGCCAACCAGCTTGAAGACCTGCTTGAACTCAAGTCCTTCAAGGTTTTGGTTGACACTGATTTCGAGGTTGTGTCACTGGAACAGCAAGAGGAAAGACAGATGCGCAATTCAAGAAACTCATTGAGCTCGACTCAGATGTCAAGTTTGTTGCCGACACAATCTATTGGAATGGTCCTGCGGGTGCCGAATGCAAGAAGTGCATGGCCCACAACAGCTACAAGGCCAAGTTGTGCATCTGGAGCATCATCAAGGTTGTTTTGCCATCTGCTGTTGCGTCTGAACTCCTGCCAGTCTTCTCGGACACCACCTGTGTCGCCAATGTGTGGGCGCTGCTGCAAGCTCGTTTTGACAAGCGTTCTGCGCAAGCTCATCTCGCTAATGTCAAGGGGCTGTTCATGAAGCCCATGTTGGGCTCTGGTGCAGTGGTGGTTCGTGAGCACATTGCCGATTTGCAACGCCGTTTTGACATGATTTGGCACCATGAATGTGCCAAGTTGTCCTCACACCTGTGCGTTGACTTTGCTGACTCGTTCTTGGTCCTCACACTGCTCTCCTCGCTGCCGCCCGAGTATTCACCAATGGTGCTCTCCTTGGGCGAGCGCTATGAGGAAATGGCAATCATCAAATTACAGACGATTCTTGAGGGGGCTGCCAACCAGCTAGAACGCAGCTCTGGGACTGAGACACAGGCGCTTGCTGTGACGAAGCACAAGGACACGAACGCCTGTCACAACTGTGGCAAGATTGGTCATTATGTGCGCTTCTGCCTGAACTGGGACCACCAGCGCAAGAACAGCGCTGAAGCTGCGAACTGGCACAAAAAGAAGGCAAATGTTGTTGCCAAGGACAGTGACAAACAGGCAATGGTGCATTTGTCTGTGGACGAGTATGAGCATTTGATGGCGTCTGCCCGTGGTGTGGATGCCGCTGGAGTTGTTTTTGGTGCTGCTGAATTTGACGGATTTGTGCACTACCCGATTGTCGCCCTCTGCCCCGAAATCGTGAGACTTGAACATCAAAGCCATCAGGGCATGGTGACGCCACCTGGCACGTACCCGCCCATCATTCATGTTGATGCATTGAATTATGAAGGACCGGATCCTCACCATCATCGTGCGCGCGCACTGATGCCTTTGTCAGCGCGCGCACGTCTTGCACAGAGCCCGAAAGTCGATTCGGCCGCTGGCGCGCACTTTTGCGGCAACAAGTCGCTATTTGCTACGCTCAACGACATGCGGCCTGGCGAAGGGTTCCTTGTCTCACTGGGTGACCACCGCGTGTGCCAACCGATTGGTAAGGGCACAATGCGCATCCACACGCCTTCGGGCAACATTGTTCACCTCGACCCAGTCTGGTACATTCCCAGCTTCAAGACGCTTGTCTCAGTCTCTGAGCTGTACGATCGGACTGCTGTGCGAGTCATCTTTGGGGATTGAGACGTCCAGTTCATGCATTGCGAGACAGGAGATCTGCTTGCCAAGGGCGTGCGGCATGGGGATATGTGGATCGTCCTGGGCGTGTGCGAGAAGGGACCGACCAAGGACGCGTGGGTGCTCGACGTTTGGGGTAAGCGACCTGTTGGTGTGCACGTTGCCGATGTGGTCAAGAAGGTGTCGCTCGCCGAGCTGTGGCATGTGCGACTATTTCATGTTGGTCATGTTCGCGATTCGGCCGTGTGTATGCTCGAGCATGGCGTCAAGGACGATGTGGGTGTGGCCAATCTGGTGCACGAGTGCATGACGTGTTTTTGTGGCCAATGTGCACAGCCAGCCACATCTGCTGCGCCATTTGCGTGCAAATCGACTATTTGGCGTCCTCTACGCTGATTTGGTGTCAATGAAGGCGGTTGGCATGGGGGGTGTCAACTACTTTGCGACAGTCATGGACAAGTACTCATGCTGGTGCTTCGTGCTGCTTCTCCAGTGCAAGGGCGACTTTGGACCGCAGTTTCTCAATTTGCTGAAGCATGCCAAGTCATTCTTCGGCGTGTCTGCAGGCCGGCTGCACAGCGACCATGGTGGCGAGTTCATTGGCAACAGTTTACGCTCGATTCTGCTCTCATGTCGCATGCACTTGTTGATAACGTCTCCAAACTCGCCAGAGTCAAATGGACTTGCCAAACAGATGCAGGGTGGGCTCAAGTCAATGGTGTGTGCGGCCATGATGGCCACCAAGGCGCCGGATGTTGGAATGGTGAATCCAGCACTGCTGCCTTCGATCAGGTTTTGGTGCAGTGGATAACTCAACAAGTTATGAGCCCTGTGTGCGCAGAGGTCCTGCAATTGAACCCCAGTCGTGACGGTTGACATTTGGAGCCCAAAAGAGGGGGAAAAAGGAATCCTCACCCCTCCAGCTGACCCCAGGTAACTGAAGTTGCAGCAGATACTGGCTTCAGGGAGAGTGTTGGAATGGTGAATCCAGCACTGCTGCCTTCGATCAGCTTTTGGTGCAGTGGTTAACTCAACAGGTTATGAGCCCTGTGTGCGCGGAGGTCCTGGGATCGAATCCCAGTCGTGACGGTTGACATTTGGAGCCCAAAAGAGGGGGAAAAATAAATCCTCGCCCCTCCAGCTGACCCCAGGTAACTGAAGTTGCAGCAGATACTGGCTTCAGGGAGAGTCTTGGAATGGTGAATCCAGCACTGCTGCCTTTGATCAGGTTTTGGTGTAGTGGTTAACTCAACACCAGATTCCCTCTGGCCAGAGTGTGTGCACGCGGCGTGCTATGTGCGCAACTGTGTGCCAAGTGACTCGCTTGGTGGTCACTCGCCATACCAGGTTGTTTTCGGCGTGTCACCCTACATGTTGAAGTGCAAGGTGTGGGGCTCGCTTGGTGGCACTGTTGTTCCGATGATGCAGGCGCGTCTGGGCATGTCCAGATTCGCTGCAGGTGTGGCAGTGCATATGGTAGGTTATGGAGACGAGTTGCCATGGGTCATGCGCAACGACTACCGTGTGTGGGATGGAGAGAAGGTGTTTGTCACGCGCAATGTCAAGTTTGCCAAGCGGCTCTGTGTTGTGGAGTCGCGTGTTGTTGCTGGTGCTCCTCGCACGTTGCCGTCAGCCAAGGTCAAGGTTGGGTCGCCCGTGCAAGTTGATTTGGAGCCGCTGGACGTGCCGTCGACTGTGGTCGATGGCATTGGTGGTGATGAAGTTGTTGAAGAGGAGATAGGGCGTGGTGCGTGGCATGATCAAGTTCAAGTGCCTTTGGCAGTTCCTGATCAACTTCCTGCAGTCAACCCGATTGCCAAGCTCCCCCTGGCAGGGCCAGCATTGGGGCGTGATATTCTACAAGCTGGCGAGAGACCCAGTTTGCTGCAGGTGGACCGGGGACCAATGGGGTCCTCGCGGACGTGGGGGAGCCCAGTCGTCAGGCCGATGCGCCAGAAGTGAGCGATGGGGGTGTTGGTGCTCTTGGACCTGATGCTCAGGCACCCATCGCATGGCAATCGCGCCGTTTGTGTGGCCTACAGCCCGAGGTTGCTCGCCGTTTTGATCCCGACGCCATTGCCCGCGTCCACAGTATGCCCGACGTGGGGGAGGTGGATCCTGAACCTGAAAGGGGCGTCGAACGTGCTGCTGACGCAGTTGAGAATGTGCGCATGTTGCAGTTGAATAGTGATTGCACGGACGCTTCGGCCCCTCTTGTTCGTTCCCTAGCTGGCCCTGGCGTCGACTCAGGTTCGCCCCTGTCCAGAATTGTCAATCTTGGTTTGCTGACACTGTTTCTACGTGCGCACCTGGACTCGGATCTCAGCAAGTCTGTGAGTCGGCAAGTGCAGTGCTTGCATGTGTTGCCGCAGCTCAAGTCGGCGCCCAGGGTGCAGTTTGGGAACCCAAGACGGTTGAGGAAGAGCTAGTGCACCCGGACTGGTGCGCGCCGACATTTGACAAGTACAACTCGCTCGTTGAGAATGGGACATGGGTGCTCGTCAACCACTGCCCAGGCGACAAGGTGATGCGCTCCGGTTGGATCTTCAAGTGGAAACTCGGGGCAGACGGAAAGCCCGTGCGCGCCAAGTCGCGACTTGTTGCCAAGGGATACAAGGCCATTCCAGGCGTGCATTACACGGACACGTTTGCGCCCGTTGCGTCGTTTGACACGCTGCGTTTGATTCTGTCGCTCACCGCGTCCAAGTACGACAAGTGCCTGTTCATGCACAAGACAGGCAAGGGCGTGATCTTCATTGGAGTCTATGTCGACGACTTGCCGATTGTCGTGTCAACCAAGGAGCTGCGCAAGTGGATTGTCGACAAGTTGAAGTCCGAGTTCAAGGTGCACGACTTGGGCGATGCGGCATGGTTGCTCAGGTGCAAGATTACGTACAGTGACGACGGGTCAATTTACCTTGACCAGAGCCAGTACATCAAGTCAATGGGCAAGCGGTTCCAGATCCCTGAAAAGATGTGGCCAGTGATCCTGATGTGACCCAATGACTTCAAGGAGCTGCTCGAGTTGCCCAAGATCATTGATCCAGTCGTGAAGACCGAGTACCTCGCCATTGTCGGGTCACTGCTCTTTGTGGCGACCAAAACGCGGCTGGACATTGCCGCTGTGACTGCAATTCTTGGCCGTTTCATGCATGCACCTGGTACGCTACATCTCGAGGCTGCAAAGCGGCTTGTTGGGTACCTGTTGGGCACGTTGAACCTCAGCATCAAGTTTTTGGGCAAGGATATGAAACTTGACACGTTTGCTGATGCCGATTGGGCTGAGGATCGTGGCGACCGCAAGTCAACGTTGGGCTTTGTGATACGGGTTGGCGGTAGCCCTGTCGCCTGGCACTCGAAGAAGCAGACGCTCATGGCAAAGTCGACCATGGCTGCTGAGTGCGTGTCGGCAAGCTTAGCAGGCGACACGATCCTCACGATATGCGCACTGCTGGAAGAGCTCGGGTACAAACAGGATGGACTGACGCCGCTCATGGAAGATAACGCGTTGGCGGGGCGTGTAGCCAAGGACGCGCTGCTCTTGTCGAAACACGTTGAGATCTACACCCACTGGTTGCAGGACCAAGTTGCCAAGAAGACGATTGACCTGCGGCGTGTGGACACGGAGAACCAGATTGCTGACATTTTGACCAAGCCGCTTGTTGCTCCTGCATTCCGCAAGCTTCGTGACATGATTGGAGTTGCGGAAGTGATTGCTCCGCGCGCGTAGGGAATGCTCGCCGTGGGGGAGTGTCAAAGTGTTCGTCTCGCATTTGTGTTTCTTGTTTTTTGTCTTCCCTCATTGATTCCTTGTTGGAGCTGTTCGAGTTGGA